TCCCTACAACAAATGAACCTTAGCCGGCTTCAAAGTCAGGCTTATGCCACACTGCAGTAGGGGTGCTCAAACACATGCCAGTTCTGCTCATGCCTTATTCACCAGCTGTGAACAGAGAGATGGTTTTATTTACTCTCTGTTTGATAGTTTGTCAGTCTGTCTGTGGGAGTCTGACAGGTTGCTTCACTGTGTTCCTTACTAACCATGCAGTACAATGCAGTTAGCTTTTCGCACATGCACATTCTCGCACATTCCCCATCCTTGCTGTATAACTTCTCTGCTCAGCAGGTAATTGTTTAGTCAATTAGATCGCTCACAAATCATATAAATCAGTCATCAGTAAATGCTGGGTTTCAATAAAATCCTACTCCTCAGTGTTCATTTAATTAGTCCTTTGGGATGCTAATGGCTGCCCGTCAGTTGAAATCAGCAGTGCCCTTTCTCGCGCACAGTTTGTGGAAAACCTGATATAAAGCAGTTTGGCAGGCATTCACAGCTGCTTGGCATGAACTGAACAGGCTGAGTGATCGGCTCATATCTGATTGCTATCTTTGAACACAGTGAGTTTGGCCATCGAGCATGTTCACAGCAAAATTTGCAGCATCCCTACACTATAGTGTGCAGGTTTTCAAGTCTTCCAGAACTCTGTATTGGATTGGATTGGGTGTTTTTTTTTTAAATGGATGCTTTCCTGTTTTAAAAGAGCCTCAGGTAACCGATGAGTGAGCATCACTGGCTGAGACATATCACCAAGACCAAACGTTCTTTATCATGACTGAACTATTTTCTGCTTGTTAATAAAAAGTACCTGTGATCAGGGCTATTTTTGGGTACAGGAACGGAGTTCTGGCTGGCTTCAGAGTTGGCCATGCCCACTACAGCCAAAACCTCTGTGTGCGTGGCTACAGAGGGAAGGCCTGGAGAGCGACCCCCCGGTGACTCTGAGGTGGGGGGCTGGGGGCCCCTGGAAGGATCGGGGAGGCATTTAAATGCCTCCCCGTGCCTTCCCTGGCCTGGGGGTGCCTGGGCAAGCCAAAGGAAGGGGGTGTGGCCTAATAAGATAATGAGCTGTGCTGTCAGGGGTGTGGCCTAATATGCTAATAGGTTTCTGCTGTTGGGTGTGGCCTGTTGTGCTAATGAGTTCCTGCTGGGCTTTTTCTACAAAAAAAGCCCTGCCTGTGATTGAGGTTGCCATATCAAGTTCTTGCACCTCTCCTCTTGCTTGTCTGGGGTTGACTAGGATCTACCAGCTTACAGCTAAACCAGTAGAATATGGCTTTTATGTACCTCCCAAACTGGGTTCCACATCAGCTTCAAACAGTGGTTGGAGGTCATAGGATATGATGGCATAACTGCAATTCACACAAAGTGGAAGTCACCACTTAAGGGAGGAGAGGAGAAGGAGCATAAGGAATGTTCACATAGTGCAAAATCAGAGTTTGGATTTAGGTCTGAATCATTCCACTGAATCTTGTCACAGTTTTCAGGCAGAGGGGGGAAAGTACCTGTAACTTATCAAATGAATGGTTCTGTATGTGGGGCTGAAAGTAATTGTAGAACAGCTGAAGTAATTATTGGGAGAAAATTTCTGAGAGACATTCATGTTTCCTCATGCCATTATACATTTGCCGCTATTATGATTGATGAGGAAAGATTTTTAATTAAAAGTGTTTGCAGATATATTAGCTGTAATGTAACTTAGAATAACAGTACAACAGAATCTCGTCTATCTACACAGAGCTTTTCAACACAGTGGTCTGAGCTCATCATCCAGACCACATATTTTTGAGTGTGTATTTTTGGTCATGTTTATAGAAATATTTATGATTTAGGTGCTATTTCAGGTGATTAGAAGTAAACGTGGATGAAGACACTTGAGTTTATTATAAGAGCTGTGTCAGAATAATGTCAGATTTCAGTTGTCTTTATGCTCTAAATCAGTCATGGTTCACTTAGTTGGCAGTATGAATGAAATACATTTGGAATGCTACACTGGGAATGTTAAAGTTATTTCCTAATGATTTTTTCTGGATTTAATACATTTTTTAATATCTGAAGTTCACCGTTTTTATTGTTGTCAGTGATCAGAAATGTTACAGTTGATTCCCTTAAGTGTTCTACCAGAACTTTATTATTATATTATCACTTCATTTTTATTAGCATTCTATTTTATATTTATTATGGAACGGGGAATGTACTTTTTTGAACTAGAAAGCTTTATACGATATCAGGTTATAAAGCCTGATGTTGCAGTGGATATTATTAGATGTTCGGGAGGGGCTGTGGCTCAGAAGCAGAGTATCTTCTTTGCATGCAGAAGGTTCCAAGTTTAATTCCCAGCATCTCCACTAAGAAAAGATCAGGTAGTAAGTGATGTGAAAGGTCTCTACCTGAGACATTAGAGAGCTGTTGCCAGTTATAGTAGACGATACTGACCTTGATGAGAGCAATGGGCTGACTCAGTATAAGCAACAGAACAAACACTGCTACCCACCTGAATCTATCAGTATCAGCAAGTTCATGTGATATTACAGTGGCTGGAGTTAAGCCAGAAAGTTGAATTGGAACAATGTACAGTTAACGTTCGCTTTCTTGGTTTTACTTTTTTCAGGTGGCTTTGCATGCTTGTGGAGTTGCGACAGACATGGTGATAGAACGCTGTACCAAAGTTCGTGCAGCATTTGTCATCTGCCCTTGCTGCTATGGCTTCATTCAGAATACAGCCAAGTTTACATTTCCACGAAGGTGAACCATTGCTTGTTATAATTGTATGTGGAGGGCAACCTGGATTAAAATGTGTGACACTGAACACAAGAGTCACAGAATCATAGAATGTTAGAGTTGGAAGGGACCTTGCAGGTCGTCTAGTCCAACCCCCTGCACTCTGCTGGAGCATAGCCGAAAGATAGCCCTACAGCATACCCGAAAGATGGTCATCCAGCCTCTGCTTGAAAACGTCCAGCAAGGAGCATCCACCACCTCCTGAGGCAGTCTGTTCCATTGCTCAACCACTCTTACAGTTAGGAAGTTTCTCCTGATATTTAGCCGGTAACGACTCCCTTGTAATTTCCACCCATTAGATCTAGTCTTGCAATCCGGAGCAAGAGAGAATAGATCTACTCCAGGTGAGGCCTGACCATAGCAGAACAGAGCAGAACTACCACCTCCCGTAATCTGGACACAATGCTTCTGTTAATGCATCCTAAGATTGCCTTAGTAGTCATAGTAGTCATATTGGTTGCATAGAACAGTGAAAACTGAGTAAGTTAAGCAATGGGTTGAATCCAATCAGCTTTTTCCACTGGTGAAGAAGAGAGAGAGGAGTCCCTTTTAGCTATCCAAAAGGCTATGTTGCGGTCTTGGGACCTGAACTGCCAAAAGCCACGTGGGACAGGGACAGTAATAAGGAGGGGAGTTGGCTAAGGTTGAGTGTAAACCTGGCTGGATCCAACCCAATACCTTCACTTTTAACAACTGGCTTTTAAAATACTGGAAGCTAGTTCAGAATAAATATTAAAGGATATAAGGATGTGCTGCCTCTTGGCAAGGAAAATGCATAACCCTGTCCATGCTTTTCTCTATCTGTCAAACCAAGGTGCTCAGGATATGAGTCTCCCCTTCCTTTATACAACCCTGTAAGGTAGGTTAGTGAGAGAGAAAGACTGGCCCAACATCACCCGATGACTGTTGTGGCTTTCTGAGCATTGGAACCCATGCCACTTAAATCCTATACTATTTATTTATTTATTTAAATTTATAACCCGTCCTCCCCGCGAACGGGCTATATACCACACTGGATCTTTTACGTAGATTGACTGGGTTTAATAGTACCATACAAAGCAGTTATCTTTATTAGCCTTTCCCATAAACATATCCCACTCCTTTATGATCCCATAATGACTAGGAGAGTGTGCCAGAGAGAGCTGTGTTTCGTCATTCCAGCTGGTCTGAAAATCACCTGTAAAGGTTGTGGAGAAGAATTTAGTAGGTGTTTTTTAAAAAAACAAACAAAAAAGAATGGGCATAACAAAAATATTTTTCGCATGGTTGTACCATTGCAATACAATGCAATTTTTTCCTGTTAATTTCAGAAACTTGCCATCTAGACACGCTTTATTTTTCACATTTATGAGATCTACCTTGTAAACCTTGCTGTGCTTTTAAATAAATTTCATGATCTAAAAATAACAAACTTTTAATGGGCATATAAGAGGACCACGAAGCAAAGTAATGGAAATTATTCAGTGCTTCAGAGACACAATTCAGATGGTTTGACTGGATTTAATTGAGCCTTTTTATAAATTCCTGTTATCTTTATTGGCTGTAAAATAGGCTTTTTACTATTGAATTGTTGAACTTTTGTTTTTTCTCTATTTTGTTAGAAGACAGCACTCCAGGATAGGAAGTAATCTTTCTCTCTGTAGAGCTCGCTTAATTTCCAGCACATACCTCCAAGAGTTTATATTTTTAATTTTAAAAAGGCAAGAGCCATGTGTTGTATCCTGCCAATCTTTTCTGCTAACTGAAATGGGGGGGGGCATTTTCACTGCTTTGCCCCTCCTACTACAGGCCTCCAGTTTGTACTTCATGCTGTTCCTGTTAGTTCCCTGTCTCAAAGGAGCAGCGTTTTGCAGAATACCCGTAGATGGTGGGAAGTAGGGAAGTTCTGGTCCACTGACAGGAGTGATCGGCAAGATCCAACTTCATACTCAACAGTATTTGGAAAGATTCAAAGCAACAATATTATTGTTACCAATCAAGACACTATTTTTACCAAATTTATTTTGACTAGTTAGACCCTACTTTTTGAGATGCAAGATGCAATCACACGTTATGACGGACAGAGTTTGGTGAACTGTGGGAACAAGCCTTGGGAACTCTGCAGGCTCTTATACTTGCCCGTCCCTTACTATGATAGTGAAGATTTCATGGTTCCCAACAAAGAACAATTGTTGTTGTAACATCTGATTTGGAATTCTAGTTTGTAAGCATGGCTGCATCCACTCACCTTTGGATATTGTGCTATCCTTACACTTTAGTAGTGATAAATTACAACTGGATCATCTTCTTCACACAAAAAGATCCAGTGGCAAATGCCAGTGATCTAGAGCAAAAGCCAGTGATGTGTGGATGCAACCCAAGAGAACCAAACCATGTTTTCATTGTTTTCATTATGTCTGAGTTAGAGCCAAAGGTTAGGATGCTTACATTTATTTAGTGATCTAAAATGTTTATGCCCTCCCCATATCAGTATGTCAAGGTGACTTACATAACTGTAAGTTTGAACAATAAATATAGCTTAAAATGTTAAACATAGCAACTTGATTTATATAGTTTAAAAAATATCTAAGCAACATCTGAGATAAATGGGATCCTTCTGAAACAACATCAGTAAGCAGAGTAAAAGCACTGAAGAAGCAGTCAAGTCAGGCTAGATTATGGATAATGCATGTACTGTAACGTATCTATATAAAATGCAGAAGCTTTCTTTCAGTGTATCAAATTAGTGTCTTGCATAGTCCTATATCTAAAATTATCTGAAGGGGAAAATGTCCGTAGCTTGGCATGTTACAGATATAATACTGAAATAAAAGTTGGTATATTTTAAACATTCTATCCAAGAGAAAAAAATACTGGGTTTTATCCAGCCAGCTTTCCCACTTAGATCTCGAGGAATTTGCCTCTTTACTGCAGCCCTCATCCGACATGGCTTTTGTAGGTCTCATAATCCTCCATACATACTTTTAGTAGTTGAAAGAGACAATTTCATCCCTTTTTCACCAGTGGAAACGCTGGTTGGATCCAAACTATTACCATAGTGCTTGCTTCTGAATTGTGTTGTATCATCTAGCTATTGTCTAGCATTCAACCAAGTACATTTTATTGCTTTTGTTTTTAAATGGTGGCTTCTCATTGGTGATTGAATCCATCTCCTTCTTTATTTCAGTCATCAGTTCAAGGAAGTTTTATCTTACAAGGTATGCAGATGGTGGCTTGGAATTTTTCTGTGCCTTTCTTTCTGTATGATTTTGATGGATTGAATAATCTCTAGTTATTTAACTGTAGCATTTACAAGAATAGTGGTGCTTATCAATTCTATTGTTGGCTTTTGTTCTTTCATGTGGATTTTTTTTTAGTAAATAAGTAAAAAAATTGGGTAATTATACCACCTTTCAGATATAAGAATCTCCCAAGACAGTTCAGAAGATCAAAAGAAAATTTAAAATAGTTTTTCATGGTTAAAAATGCAAAACTACAAAAGGAACAGATGACAACATATACCTCAAATGCAAAGCTACAGCCTACTTTTGGGACACCCTGTTGTCCCAAAGTCTGACCCTGACTGTCTGGAGTAACGAGTTACCATCCCAAATCAACAAATATTTCCTCCCCCAGATAAAGGTTTTAAGTGAAGAAACCATCATGTATCTGGTTCTAGAGTAGATTCTTTCCTAGGCCTTCCCTAATGAATGTCTTCAGTGGGCAGGAAGCTGTGCAATCCAGTACTTACTGGTGTTCTCTGTGATGGAGTCATGCATCCTAAGAGTATCTTCCTAATTTTAGCAGCCCCTTCGTGTCCAGCATGGTTCTGGAATTTCCCTGTTCATTTGATTTTTCTTCTCTCGAGATTTACATTGGACAATATTATTTTAAAATGGCTTTAACTTGTCCTCTGAAAGACAAACAGTTCTCAATGAAATGTAACTGAAATATTAATTCAGCCTGACCTGGATAGCCCAGGCTAGCCCAATCTCATCAGATCTTGGAAGCTAAGCAGGGTCAGCCTTGGCTACTATTTGGATGGGAGACCACCAGGGAAGTTGAGGTAGGCAATGGCAATCCACCTCTGAATGTCTCTTGCCTTGAGAACCCTATGAGGTCGCCATAAGTCAGCTGTGACTTGATGACATTTTCCACCACCGAAATATTCAGTACATAAAAACTTAGCAAAATTATTATAGAAGAAAGAGTTGTAACAATGCAGTCATAAGCAGAATTATACCTTTCTGAATCTATTGACGTCAACAGGCTTAAGATTGCACTGTAAATATTTTTATATTATAATTTATCTCAGATCCATCCTGAATAGAGGCACTGGCTGATACATGATTTGCTCTCACCCAGAACAAGGGCCTCAGTTTCAGTGGAGGAAGCTCTTTTGTGCTTACATGGGCAGACAGGTGCCAGTCACTGATATCAACAATGTCCAACAATGTAGATGAACCTTTACAGAGGTCATTTCGGGGGGGATCGCAGTTCCCCTGGATGAGAAAAGATATTCTGGCCTGTTGAAACAATTATTTTACTTGAAAGATACTAAAATCTTTAAATACTTAAAAGCCTTTTTTTGCCATCAAATTGCAGCTGACTTATGGCAACCCTATAGGGTTTTCAAGGTAGTTGACATCCAGAGGTGGTTTGCAGTTGTTTGCCTCTGTGTAATAGCCCTGGACTTCATTGGTGGTCCCTCCCATCCAAATACTGAGCAAGGCCAACCCTTACTTAGCTTCCAAGATGTGATGAGATCAGGCTAGCCTGGGCAAAAGCTTTTAGCCACATTAAAATCCTTTTTTGTACACACAATGAGTCATATTAATTGAAAAATAAATACTGTCAAATAGGACCAAATTAAAGATATAAGATACGAGTTCATTGTAAAAAGCTACTGATACATTTTTACATTTTCCATTGCAATCCATTCCCAGCTCACTAAGAAAATGTTAAAAAATTCACCTTTCACTCAGAGAATTCTTTTAGTGGTTTAGGTACAGTATGACAGTTGCAAAGATAAGGTAAGGTAATGTATTATACAAAGTTCCACTGGTTCTGAGAAGCATCTTTTTTGATAAAAGTTGCATTAGTGTGTTTTTTTTAATGGAGACATGCTGAGAAGCTGCTTGTTGCTGTAAAACCAGTCCAGTTCATGTGTTTTCTATGGAACTGCACCAGATGCTGCCTCTGTTCCAAATATGTGGTCCTATAGACTGTGGTATGCATCTTTCCATATTGCACTGATATATTCTTTTCAATTACTGATGTGTTGCCAATGCTGCAATGTGATGGCTAGACACGGTGTCACTGTCTCCAGTTCCTCTGACATTTATATTTCCCTTCACTGTGAAATTCAAGGGCCCCCACATACATCAAATGAAATCAGAAGAATTGCTCTGTGAAGCGTAGCCACTTTATATAAAACAGCAACGGTGGCAGCCCAATACTAAATGAAGGTCTGAAGTTGCTAGCTACTTAGACCTGTTAGTCACTGCTATGTGAATGCAGACATTTGTTGGCTAATTCCGCCTCCCACAGCAGCCACTATGTGGCAGCCATTTTTTGGCTGTGTCCACCATGCTGTGTCAGACTTCCCAAGGTGCCCATGGGCTCAAAAATGTTTGGGACCCCTGCTTGAGTGTGTAGTGTTTAATGACAAATGTATTAATAGCCATAAATACCAATTCCTGTTTGATTCTGTAAGCCACTGCCCTGAAGGTCAAAGGTGAAATGTTAGAGAGGCTCAACCAAATTTAAAATTCTATATATATAAAAGACATAAGAAGAAGAACAGATTGGATTTATACCCCACCCTTCACTCGGAGTCTCAGAGCGGCTTTCAAACTCCTTTCCCTTTGCCTCCCCACAACAGACACCCTATGAGGTAGGTGGAGCCGAGAGAGCTCTTTCAAGGACTGCTCTTTCAAGAACAGCTCTGACAGAACTATGGCTTGCCCAAGGTCATCCAGCAGCTGCAAGTGGATGAGTGGGGAATCAAACCCGGTTCTCCCAGATTAGAGTCCATGCACTTAACCACTACACCAAACTAAATGCATTACCTTTTTTCCCATTTGAGAGGATTTCTTCCATGCAAATGAGATTGCCAAAATTCCATACAAAAGTGTTTTGTGTTCTCACATACTTATTTCCATCTAATGTTTCAGATGGCTGTGTCAAGATGTACAGTTCTGAAATGGTTCTGATTGCTATGACTTGGCACTTGAAACTGCAGCTGTCCTAGCTACTGCAGCTGTCAACTGAAGCCATGTCACGGCACTAGTTTTTTAGTTTTTTCCTTGAACACTTTCTTCTGCCTGAGGGAATCTCCACCACTTTTAAGGTCTTCTCTTCAGAAAGCACCTTATTTATTTATTTATTTATTTAACATTTATATATCTCCCCTTTTGGTTTGTATATAAGCATGGTCCGATGGTTTGCCTTACAAAGCAAAAGACAGGTGGAAGCATTATTGGGGTAGTGCTGGTGCTAACAGGGTGCCTTAGTACAATGTAAAACACACTTGTTTTGGCGAAGCTGCATGGTATAATGTTTATGCAAGTCACATATACATGAGGAGGAAAGCACAGCAGACAAATGTAGGAGAAATAATACTAAGTTTACTGGACCAGAGGAACACCTACATTTGTTATCAGAGGTCATTTCAGGGGGGGAACGCGGGGGAACACAGTGCCCCCAGGTGAAGTGCAGGGGGGCGGGGCACATGACGAAGCCCCGCCCCCTGCTTCCGGCCGCCCCGCTTCCAGCCCTCATTCAGCCAGGAGGAGGCAGGAGAAGAGGGAGGGTAAGTTCCTTCCTCCCCGCCTCTCCCCCCTGCCTGCCTGGGGCCAGGGAGGGCCTTGGCGGGGCTTCCTCGCACTCCCGCTGGCCTTGCAGGTCCACCGCCGGGCCCCTGATGTCAGAGGGTGTGGCATATGCTAATGAGTTATGCTAATGAGTTCCCCTAGCTCTTTTTCTACAAAATGACCCCTGTTTGTTATTCTGAAAACATACTTACTAGTGTTTATAGTCCAAACTGTATCCAAATATGATATAATGAAAGACGTGACAACGCATTGCACCAGGCATCTGTCCACACATCACACAGATACCATTCGGCACCAACCCTCTCGCTATATAATCAAGTGTACAGTGAAAGACAGTGAGTGACAAGCACACTGCAAAAAGTTCACAAAATAAATCCTCAGGGTCATAGTGGATCTCATGAGGCCAACTTGAATGTCAAGTAGCTTGCTTGTATTGGATCCAAAAAGCCCCACCAAATTACAATCTTTTGTACTTCAGACACATAGTTCTTTGGATGCTGCTACTAAAAATAGCTGTTTTCGAATGATGTAATGGAAGAAGGCTGTGATTTTATGTGGTCCTTTTATTTTCATTCCAGGAGCACATGGTTCTCTGCCGATTTGCTGATCAGACAGCTGTCCAGCTTCCCCCTGAACGCAGGCGAATAGGTATGCTCATCTATAGTGCAGCTGTTGTGTAGATTATATGCACTATATTGGTGATGTGCTTATCTGACTATATATGGATAATTCTGGTATTTCATCAAAAAGGAATTAAAGTGCTGGTTTCTCAGAATGCAAAGAGTGGAGTTTTGAGAGAGAGAGAGAGAGAGAGAGAGAACACGATACTGAAGTTAGATCTACAATTGAATGTATCGCGAGAGGAGTGTGTGCTGCTCTGCATTCACCTGTTGTTTAGGGCCAAATACAGAAATTACAGAAGTCTTTTGGACATGTGCTATATATAAAAATGAACCAGGGGGAGCCAGGGAAAAGTTGGTTTTCACTAATGGTTTCCCTTCCCCCGGAAAGTGCTCTTCTTTGGACATTGGGGGGGGGGTGACATGTAAGGGAACAAAAATATCCATGGAGGTGAAGTCCCTCCGCTGCATTTTCCATGATCCTCTTGTACATGGTAGCGGCGTTCCCAAATGAACCTCTGTATAGTACTGATCAGCTGCTGCTTCAGCAACACTTCTGGTTTTCAAATAAGTCTTGTGGTGCCCTCACTCTGAGTTAGTTTTGTTTGCTTGCATTGCTGTCATCGCAGCAAAATCCAGCTGGCTAAGCAACAGTCTCACTATTCCCAGGCTTACTTGAAAGGCAATAAAAAAATGCTGCCAAAGCAGCAAACAATTGAGGTAATGAACAGGAGCAAACTGGGGTGAAAAAAGGTATGTTTGAAGAAACTTTTAGTGAACTTTTAGGGTTCTCTAGTGCGTACTTTTTTGCGATTGAAATGTTTGCTCCACACAATCCTATCTATAAATGTTATCCTGCTTCTTACAGTCCCCACCACAGTTATATTTCAGCCATCATAGTATCTGTTAGTGATGATTCATTGTCACACAGATGGGTATGGGGGGGGAGCACCGATTCATTCTGAAGATGAAATAAAAGTAGAATAAAAGCTCTTTGAATATGAAAAGTGATATCTGTAACCCAAAACGTTTTTATGCAACAACAACAACAAAAAGATACAGAAAAATACAAATCAATTGACAAAAAAGTCCTTGCACAATGTCTTAATTATACAGAGGAATTCCTATGGAAATACTGGGTTAGTGTCCTACTTGCATATCTGGTGGAGATGCGAAAAAGTAAAGCTCGATCCGGAAGTATACCTCCTAAATATCTTACCAGAAGGGATTAAAAGTAATGATGTATGCGTGATACTGTATATTCTCACTAGCGCCAGAATTCTCCTAGCAAAATGCTGGAAATCAGAAAAAATTCCAGATAGAGAAGTGTTGGTTACAAAAATTATGGAAATTAAAGAAATGGATAAACTTAATACGATATTACTGGCAAAAGATGAGAGTGTGTTTAAAAAAAGATGGCAGAAATTAGATAGTTGGATAGATACAAATGTGTAAGATTCTCTAAAAGATACTGTATATCAAGCATTGTTACCTTGTAAGTGTATTATGGAAAAGAATAAATAAACTTTTTTAAAAAAGGAAATACTGGGTTGAATCCAACCAGATTTTCTACAGCTGAAAAAGGGAAGATGAGGTCCCCTTTGAGCATTAAAAAGGCTATGCTGGGAATTGTGGGACCTGCCTGGACAAAAGCCATATGGTATGGGTGTTATAGTAAGTAGGGAATTGGTTGAGACTGAGCGGAAGAAGTTGTCTCAGTAGCATTTAAATCTTAAACCAAAATATGATTCTTAGGAAGTAAGTTGAATGCTGTGTCTCAAATAAAACTCCCTGTAAAAGAAGCAAGTAATGCAGCTTCTCTTAATCTACCAGCACTGAGGGCTGCTTTTAATGGTACGAGAACCAGCAAAAATAGCAAATGCCCCTGAGCTTCTGCTTCCTGCAGAATATGGAAAAAGAGTTCTTCCACCTGTTCATGTGTAGGTTACAGATGTATGTGGAGTTGCCCTGAAAACTGCAAGATATGTAAAGCAAAAGTGTGAGTGACTAATGAGTCTGCTTCTAACATCTTGTGATGTGTGAAGCAGATCTCATTGCCCTAGCTAGTTCTAGCTGAAAACCAGTCTGGACACTTTGGTTACAGGATGTGTAACATAGCAGAACAAAACAAGGTCAATGCACCTGAACATTCACATTTATAACGTTCAAAATAGTTTCTGAGGTTATAAGAGTTAGAGTACAATAGAAAGTGCTGAAGTCTAGTGATACCCTTATCTGCTTTATTTTCTCTCCACTAAAACTGGCAGATCTTTAAAGCCACCACTGTATCAGGAAGGGAAAATGTGCTTTCAGGGTCACAGCTGTGAGTTCAAGAGGTATCACTTCATCAAATGGGAGTAGGCATTTTCCTAGTACTTTGGAGAGACAGAAAGGAAATGTGTCATTTAATATGGGGTGGGGTAGGTGGCTGTAAACGAAAATGTAAGTGACAATTCAGCCAATGTTTTGATGCACCGAGACTGTGATTGTATCTTACAGTGCATTTTCCTTCAAGGAGAAAGATAAAGCAGAAATTTTGTGAACCACAGAAATCCTTGTACTGTTGTTTCTGTTCTCTTCATTGTTTCTTCTGAGGATATACTTGACATCAGGCTTATCTGCTCCATTAAAAGAATTTTTTCCATTTCAATCATCTTTCTTCACCTTTTAAACTTGCTAATGGGTGTGTGGTTGGTGTGGATTAAGTTTTGTTTTCAAATGACTAGGGTAAAGGTCAAATCAGATTAGTACCAACCACATGTTCTCTAAGGCACACTTGGGTGTTGAGATGTCATATAAGATGCATTTAGAATTTTTTAGAACAATAAATATAACAAAATTCCCTTGCTCTTATATTTATAATATAATGATTCATGCAACATTTTAAGGCGAGGTCAGTATGTATATAGCTACATAGTTTGATGTATAAAGATTCATTTAAAAAGTGGGACATGATTTTAAATTTAATTTACTAATAAGTTGTATTAAGGACAGCAAGTTATTTTACATTTTTGTTTGAATTTTTTGGACTCTTTGAGATAATCATGCCAAATTTTATGCCTAGAGTTAATTCAGCTTTAGGCTAGGGGATATTTTGCCCTTTACCTCCCAATACATAAGAACATAAGAGAAGCTATGCTGGATCAGGCCAATGGCCCACCCAGTCCATCACTCTGTGTCACATAGTGGCCAAAACCCAGGTGTCATCAGGAGGTCCACCAGTGGGTCCAAAAGCACCACTGTCAGGCCCCCCATGCACCAAGATTAAAGAGCATCACTTGCTCCAGACCAAGAGTTCCTATTTATACCTTGTGGCTAATAGCAACTGATGGACCTCTGCTCCATATGTTCATCCAATCCCCTCTTGAAGCTGTCTATGCTTGTAGCTGCCACCACTTCCTGCAGCAGTGAATTCCACGTGTTAATTACTCTTTGGGTGAAGAAGTACTTCCTTTTATCTGTTCTAAACCTACTGCTCATCAATTTCATTGAGTGCCCACGAGCTCTTGTATTGTGAGAAAGGGAGAAAAGTACTTCTTTCTCTTTCTTTTCTATCCCATGCATAATTTTGTACACCTCTATCATGTCACCCCTCTGCCATTGTTTCTCCAAGCTAAAGAGCCCTAACCTCTTTAACCTTTCTTCATAGGGAGAGTGTTCCTTCCCCTTAGTGCTTTTAGTTGTACTTTTTTGCACTTTTCCCAGTGCTATGTTTTTTGACATGTGGTGACAAGAATTGTCCACAGTATTCCAAGTGAGGCTGCACCATAGATTTATACAGGGGCACTATGATACTGGCTGATTTGTTTTCAATTAGTGATTTGTTTTCAATTAACCAACTGAGGCCCTGGCCCCAACACAAATACCACCATCGACAGCCTGTATACACCGATATGAGTTGCCTGCCAACTGTATATCTGTGCTCCTGACACCTCATCATCGCCATATGATATGCACTACCACTTTATGTAGTGTTTTTAATATGTTTTATATGTATATTTACATTTTATTCAGTTTTCTGTATTACCTGTTAATGGAATTTTATATGAGCCTACCTGAGTCTGCTTCGGTGTGTGTGTGTGTGTGTGTGTGTGTGTGTGTGTGTGTGTAAATTAAATAAATAAATAAAATCCCCTTTCTAATAGTTCCCAGCATAGCATTTGCCTTTTTTTTTAAATCACAGTCGCACACTGAGTTGGCATTTTCAGGGAGTTGTCTACCATGATTCTCCGGTGGTCCTGGGAGTGGGGCAGTCCTTACTCTTGGGAATAGGCTCCTCCCTCTGGAACAGGGTCGGTTTCCTCAAATCAATCCAGGAAGGGGAGGGGCCTGTCCCCTGGGAACATCCCAGTCTTACCAGCCCTGCTGCTTGAGCAGGACGTGTTTCACAGGTGCTCTGTAGAGTGCAGCGATCCAGGAATGAGAAGAAGGGAGAGATCCTCCCTCTTCATTATTTTGAGCTGCAGTCGGTGGCAAACCGCAAATGAAGCTGATGG